AAGAGATCATCGGTGGTCGAGAATTGAATTGAATTGAATTGAAACATGATCGGCATGTAATAATTCATTCGGCACACAGATATCCATCTACTCCATGCTTCGAGAATAGATCTCTGTCCTAAACGGCCGCCATATCAAAAAATTAGTAGTATACTGTTTTGTAATGCGTTTCTACGTACTCTCCATTTCACATCTGTCATACACACTAAAGACTAAATAACCTTTTTTTAAATTTTATTAATGGAAGCAGAATGTATATTAAACAAAATTATCGAAGTATTCTTAGTGTTTTCACATCTGTCATACACACTAAAGACTAAATAACCTTTTTTTAAATTTTATTAATGGAAGCAGAATGTATATTAAACAAAATTATCGAAGTATTCTTAGTGTTTTCACATCTGTCATACACACTAAAGACTAAATAACCTTTTTTTAAATTTTATTAATGGAAGCAGAATGTATATTCAACAAAATTATCGAAGTATTCTTAGTGTTTTCGACTAAAATCGTCGATTTAAGACTTAAAAAATGTCGGCCAACTAGCTTAGTGTCCGTTCTCAAGCGGAGCTAACTGTAGACAGACAGCCTATACCTGCTCTGTTGTATTCAGAATCTACCGACCCGATCTATTCAGTAAATGTTATCTGTTGTATTCAGCGTGTCATCTATTGTATTCAGTATGTCATCAATTGTATTCAGTGTGTCATCTATTGTATTCAGTATGTCATCAATTGTATTCAGTATGTCATCTATTCAGTATGTCATCAATTGTATTCAGTATGTCACCTATTGTATTCAGTGTGTCATCTATTGTATTGTAGTGTGTCATCTATTGTGTTGTAGTGTGTCATCTATTGTATTCAGCGTGTCATCTGTTGTAATCAGTGTATGTCATCTATTCAGTATGTCATCAATTGTATTCAGTATGTCACCTATTGTATTCAGCGTGTCCTCTATTGTATTGTAGTGTGTCATTTATTGTGTTGTAGTGTGTCACCTATTGTATTCAGCGTGTCATCTATTGTATTCAGTATGTCATCTATTGTATTCAGTATGTCATCTGTTGTATTCAGCGTGTCATCTATTGTATTCAGTATGTCATCTATTGTATTCAGTGTGTCATCTATTGTATTGTAGTGTGTCATCTATTGTGTTGTAGTGTGTCACCTATTTTATTCAGCGTGTCATCTATTGTATTCAGCGTGTCATCTATTGTATTCAGTATGTCATCTATTGTATTCAGTATGTCACCTATTGTATTCAGCGTGTCATCTATTGTATTCAGCGTGTCATCTATTGTGTTGTAGTGTGTCATCTATTGTATTCAGCGTGTCATCTGTTGTATTCAGTGTGTCATCTATTGTATTCAGCGTGTCATCTGTTGTATTCAGTATGTCATCTGTTGTATTCAGTGTGTCATCTATTGTATTCAGCGTGTCATCTGTTGTATTCAGTATGCCATCTATTGTATTCAGTATGTCATCTATTGTATTCAGCGTGTCATCTATTGCATTCAGTATGTCATCTATTGTATTCAGTATGTCATCTATTGTATTCAGCGTGTCATCTATTGTGTTGTAGTGTGTCATCTATTGTATTGTAGTGTGTCATCTATTGTATTCAGCGTGTCATCTATTGTATTCAGCGTGTCATCTATTGTATTGTAGTATGTCATCTATTGTATTGTAGTGTGTCATCTATTGTATTCAGTGTGTCATCTATTGTATTCAGTATGTCATCCATTGTATTCAGCGTGTCATCTATTGTATTCAGTATGTCATCTATTGTATTGTAGTGTGTCATCTATTGTATTGTAGTGTGTCATCTATTGTATTGTAGTGTGTCATCTATTGTGTTGTAGTGTGTCATCTATTGTATTCAGTGTGTCATCTATTGTATTCAGTGTGTCATCTGTTTTATTCAGTATGTCATCTATTGTATTCGGTGTGTCATCTATTGTATTCAGTGTGTCATCTATTGTATTGTAGCGTGTCATCTATTGTATTCAGTATGTCACCTATTGTTTTGTAGTATGTCATCTATTGTATTCAGTGTATCATCTATTGTATTCAGTATGTCATCTATTGTAGTGTAGCTAGCGTGTCATCTATTGTGTTGTAGTGTGTCATCTATTGTATTGTAGTGTGTCATCTATTGTATTCAGTATATCATACATTGTATTGTAGCGTGTCATCTATTGTATTCAGTATATCATCTATTGTATTGTAGCGTGTCATCTATTGTATTGTAGTGTGTCATCTATTGTATTCAGTATGTCATCTGTTGTATTCAGTGTGTCATCTGTTGTATTCAGTATGTCATCTATTGTATTCAGCGTGTCATCTGTTGTATTCAGTATGACATCTATTGTATTCAGTGTGTCATCTATTGTATTCAGCGTGTCATCTATTGTATTCAGCGTGTCATCTATTTTACCTGACCTATTCCATTTTCCATGTATTTCACCTGATCTATTGTCTTCAGTGTGTCATCTACCCTACCTGATAAATTCATCGTTTCTTCTACCCCCACCCCCCGTATGAGATCCATTTTACCTGATCTGTTGTATTCAGTGCAGTTAAGGCATTCGCTGATAACGCCCATCACATTAAATTTATGTAATCTCTCGATGACGTTACTTATCTCGAACATTCGTTATTTTGGTTGCCAACTAATTTAAGTTTTTTTTAAACGTTATATTTGAGAATTTAAGAGTTTGTATATTTCATAAAGTTTGTTGTCAACTGTAATACAGCGGAATGGTTAACGCGTGCGCGTTGCATCATTAGGTCTGTCATTGAGTCAAGTGGCGTGGTTTCGATTCCCCACTTGTACGTGACAAGGAGTAGGGTCGCCTGTCCATGCTCGTTGGTTTTCTCCGGGTACTCCTACTGCTAGACTCCTAGCTACGCGCTAGCGAACTAATGAAATATAATTGAACCATGTGTTATACCCGAAACGGCCTAGTTTGTGTCTAGTGGATGGTGACCCCCCCCCCCCCCTCTCTCTCCCCCCCCCCCTCTCTCTATATATATATAGTTGAATATTCTTGGTTATATTATATTCTATTTAACTCTCTCTCTCTCTTCTCTTCCCTGTATAGGAGCAGAACAGTAGGACGTTACAAACCATTTCATTTCTTTTCATTTCTCTCTCTCCCCCTCTCTCCTCTATTATTATAGGTGAACATTCTTGGTTATATTATATTCTATTTAGCTCTCTCTCTCTCTCTCTCTATCTATAGATTAACATCCTCGATTGTATTATATTATATTGTATTCTGTTCATGTTCGTACGTGTATCATATAGATATGATATATGTATGTATTCGTGAAGATATGGTTAATAAACGACCGGTAGATATTATAGGCTATATTAATTAATAATACGGACAGAGGGGAGTATATAAATCTATAAATAACTTGACCGGTACGGAAATACACTTCTTGATAGATCACATTTATTACTATCATATATACATGTCACATGATTCAGCACCCAGTATGCGTCACACTTAAAATATGCTGATCATCCATTTTTCTCATATCTAATTGTTACGACTTTTAATCCACGCTAAAATGGAACCAAATTGATTGATAATCATTTATTAAAGATACATTATGGGAGATTAGATAACGAGTTGACAGTTCTCGCTATAAAAGTTAAAAACTAGATAATGTAAAGGCAATTTGCTGAAAATTTCAGTCAAATTGATCCACTATGAACCGAGAAATAAGTGATTGAAAGTTCCGCATAGTCTCGGTCATCATTACTAAAGTCGGTACGACAAAAATCATAGTCTCGATTATCCACTTAATCGTTAAATCGAGAAGGAAAGTTATGCAGCAAATCGTATCATAATCCAACAAATATCGCAGGCTATAGCGTTGACATCGAGAGTTGATTATGGTCTGGATACAGTAATTAATGTCTAATTAATAGTTTATATAACATTTCAGGCCTAAAGAAAGACCTACAAGTACAATGGGCAGATTTAGCTCTTGCATAATGTATGTTAAAAGAATCAAACCAAAATACAAAATATCAACGATGGATAATCTCCCAGTTCTGATTTAATCGGGCTGAAAAGTGTGGCGCTGGCTTATTTATGTTTTCGGCAGAAGATGCCAAATGTTGTATTTATTCAGTTCATTATATCCTTGTAGCCTAATGTTGTATTTATTCAGTTCATTATATCCTTATAGCCTATTAGTTTTAGTGATCCAGCTTTCATAATATTGTAGTTCTCTGTCAATTCAAAATATCTTAAATGACGATCATTAGCTTCGATCATAGTGGATCTTAAAATTCCCAGGCCAGAACATAGCAGGGTTAGCTAGCATGAGTCTTAAAGTTCCTTGAGGAACGGAGCGTCCGATCAGAGACGGTTCCTAAAGGAACTACGGTCTTGCTAACCCTGTTAGACAAAATTACCAAGAACACCAACCTATCCTCCATCAACTTCACGTCATTATCTTAATATGCATGCAAAATCAATATATAGAGAGAGCTGTCTAAAAACCGGTTTGAACTCCTTCGCGATGGGAAATCGGTAAACCCAGAGAGAAAGAGAGAGAGAGTAATGTCCTATCGACACAAACTAGGTTATTTCGGGACACGCAAGTCTACTCCTTGTCACGTACAAGTTGGGAATCGAAACCATGCCGATTGACTCAATGACAGCCCTTCTTACCCAACGCGCACGACACCCAACCCCCCAGAAAAGGCAAAGAATGTTCAAGCGTGGAAGGTCAAGGGAATTAACTCCAGTTAACAACCTCATTTTCGACCATAAAAAGACGTGAAATTACAAGGATTCACACCAATATAGAAAGGCACAACTCAGGTCTCTCATACAAAACTATTTTCTCGTAAAACTCAACGTTTTCTTCCTAGAAGTTCTTTAATCATTCAATTATGAATATTTGCCTGAAAAGCGATTTAAAATCAACAAAAGTCTTTCTTGTGATTAATGAATGAAACCCAAACAAAACATATATGTTAAAATATTTTATATAGCAAGATGTAAATTATAATAAAAATATATTGAGTTTCCATAGAAACGTCTTAAAATATAAAAACGTTGGCAGTGATGAATAACAGAAAAAAGTTAAAGGAACATATTGGGATTTTCCTGCAAGTCTGCTTAGAAACAAAAGAATTTTGCACAGTCAATTTCCACTGAACTCCTTGAAAAAAACTTGGCACCATCAAGGCTACAAGCTATAATGTGTAAAATTCGTATAGAACCCTAGAACATCTACACAGACAAACATATTCACCAAAATCTCAGGTCGTCTCTTGGTCCCATTCAGGCTACAAGCTATAATGTGTAAAATTAACAGATTCACCAAAATCTCAGGCTACAAGCTATGTGTAAAATTCGTATAGAATCTTAAAACTTCTACATCTTTACTCATGAACAGATTCACCAAATCTCAGATAGTTTCAACAACCAGACGATGTAAAAACTTATATTTTAGGCTTAATGAATGAATGGTGTTTAAAATAAACTACAAGTATTATACTATATCCAATTCCTTGGGCCCCTATTAAACCAATCTGATTAAAATACAGGGGCCTATTTCACGAAATTTTAACTAAGATAAAATCCAAATTTTAGTAATTTGATTGGTTAATATTAGATTGATTTAAGTGCTTAGCCAATCAAAATTGAAGTATCTACTAAATTTTGGATTTTATCTTTAGTTAAAATTTCGTGGAACAGGGCCCTGATCTATATTTCGTTTCGTTTTTTTTTTTTTTTTTATAATTTCGATGGCCTACACTACATGAAGATCTGACAAGTTATAGCGACGTGAGTTTACGTCTGGGGTCAAACAAGCGGCTTTTGATCCTATGACGTCAGACATTAATTAATCAATCAGCGTTGACATTTCTAGTGGTTTACCCAGAGTTCTGTGCATTAAAAGGCCAAAACTTCCCGTAACAGACCGTTTCATTGGCTAATCCCTCACATCATCCAGAACACGTCAATGATAACAACTCTTCCAGATCCTAGTATAGTAAAGACAAGTAAAGCGAGATTTTGAACTATAAAAAAGGAACGAAATAGGAACTGGCCCCATGTTCACAAAGCATTCTCAGACGTAAGTTAAGAATTTACTCAAAATTGTTCTTCTTATTTTAACTATAATATAGCCCTTTATAAAACTTTTGTTTCTTTAATGTAGCAAATACATTGATAAGAAAGTATATGCAAAGTTTTGTGTTTCTGGATCAAAAATATTTCTCATAAACAGTGATTAAAAGTTGAGTAAATTCTTAACTAAAGTCTGAGAATGTTTTGTGAACCTGGGGGGCCTGTGTTTTAATCAGAAGGCTGTTGAACAGAAGCACACATTGAGACTATAATTATTACAGTTATAGAGTTATAACAATACATGATATACATATAGATCTCAGACTATTAATTACACAACAGATTTTTAAACAAAAAAAATCAACAAGAAATAAAAATAAACAAAATGTACAAAAACAATAAAATGGTGGCAGTGAGAACAATAACAAAACAATTTTATATTATTTACATCCACAAATATAACCAGACAAATGGTGCTGGAAATAAGACACCCTCATCAATTAGAATTATACGCACAATTTTATATTATTTTCATCCAGAAACATTACCAGACAAATGATGCTGGAAATAAGACACACCCATGAACTAGTTTTATATTATTTACATCCGCAAACATTAGCAGACAAATGGTGCTGGAAATAATACACACCTATGAACTAATTTAATCAATTTACATCCACAAATATAACTGGACATATACATCACTGGTCCCGGTCACCATACACCACTGGTCCCTGTCATATACACCACTGGTCCCTGTCACCATAAACCAGTGGTCCCTGTCACATACACCATTAATTGGTCCATGAAATACACCACTTGTCCTTGCCACATACACCACAGGTCCCTGTCACATACACTACAAGTCCCTGGCACCACTGGTTCCTGTCACTTACACACTACTAGTCCCTGTCATATACATCATTGGTATTTGTCACACACACCACCGCTCCCCATCAAACACACCAGTGTTCCCAGGCCCACACACACCAGTGGTCTCTCTCACATACACCACTGTTCCCCGTCCCATACACCACTGTTCCCTGTCCCATACAACACTGGTCCATGTTACACACACCACTACTCCCCCGTCACACACACCAGTGGTCTCTGTCACATACACCAGTGGTCCCCGTCACACACACACACCAGTGGTCTCTCTCACATACACCAGTTCCCCGTCCCATACACCACTGTTCCCTGTCCCATACAACACTGGTCCATGTTACACACACCACTACTCCCCCGTCACACACACCAGTGGTCTCTGTCACATACACCAGTGGTCCCCGTCACACACCACACCAGTGATCTCTGTCACATACACGACTGGTCCCTGTCACATACATCAGTGGGTTCTGTCACAATTCAGGTTTTATCGAACACCAAATTTCATAGTTTACAGATGTTTCAACTACCAATGTTTCTGCCACATACGGTAAGGTCACATAGCTTAAATAGATGCTAACTAGTGCTAACAGTTCGGGTTACAGACCTCTCTGTTCCCTGAACATCCAGGTAAATAAAAAAATCATTCTCCAGGCATAGTAAATCTGATAAATGTATAAAAATATAAAATATTAAATGCATAGTTTTAGTCCCAATCAACTTTGAGCAACATTTTATGAACAATAATGAGTTTTCGGATAAATATATAGCACGATTAGAATCATCAGCAGTTCAAGACGCTGTATATCGCCAAGTTTGACGGTTTAAAGCAGTGATTCTCAACCAGTGTGCCGCAAGATCTTTCTAAGTGTGCCACGAAAATTTTGAACGGCACACTAAGAAAATGCAAAAAAAACATTGAGTATTCACTGGTGTCTACTGATAAGTTCATAGCTGTGTTTTTCTTTATTTAGTTTGAATCATTCTATGTGTCTATGACTAGTCTCTGTCTGTTTTATACCGTCTGACTTGCCATGCTTTTATTTTGAAAAATTCAAATATTTTTCATATATATTTAGCCAGGTGTGCCACTATTTTTTTATGTGTTTCAAGATGTGACCTTGGCAAAAAAAGGTTGAGAACAACTGGCTTAAAGGGACATTAGGTAAGATTAGATAAAGAGCTGACAGTTCTCGCTATAATAGTTAAAAAATAGATAATGAAAAAAAATGTACTGAAAATTTCAGTCAAATTACTTCACTTTATGGTTATATAGCACGATTTGGTTCATCAGAAGTTAAACGTGCTGATCACCAAGTTTCATGCCTTAATCCGCACTATAATATACTCTCATTAATCATTTAAAGCAGCATTATGGAAGATTAGATAAAGAACTGACAGTCCTTGCTAAAATAGTTAAAATATAGATAATGTAACAGGAATATGCTGAAAATTTGATTCAAATTACTCCAATCTTAGCTGAGAAATACTAATTTAAAAAACACTGTAGCCTCGATTGTTATTGTTACCGTTGTTACGGTAAATCATGAACGGTCTTTAGACTGCAGATCAGATTCAAATCAGATGGCAGGCTAGCTTTGACATCGAGAGTTGATTATGGTCTTGTCATGAATGTTAATAAATATCTAGTTAATAGTTTATATAACATTTCAGCCTGCAATAGGCAGATTTAGCTCTTGAATAATGTGTGTTTAACATTTAATTAAAATATCAATCGAATTATCATCTGCAGAGTAGGCCTAATATTGACAAATACTGAACTCATATTCAACTTTCACAATATTGTAGTTTACAACGGCTTCAATTTCCCTTAAATAACGATCACAAGACCCAGCATTTTTTACTTAATCCCCGGAGGCTTACCAGCTGAAGGAGGATCCTGGCCTGCAGCCCCCAAAGTCCATGGCTTAATCTGTGGGCAGGTCGGCCATATTTAAAGATCACCTCGTCCTGCTATAAATAGTTACGGGGTAGCCCTTTCTAAAAATACACTTTTCACTGCAAGTACTGAGCTAATTCTGATCAAATAAACAACACGATCATATCTAAATAATCCAGGAAATTGAAACCCTGAACCTGATTAATCATGCATAAGAAAAGAATGAATTAAAATGAAATGAGCAATAAAATAGGGGAATACAAAAATGTTTAAAAGCAAAAATGATTGATAGCTGCAGATTGAAGGATGGAAGCTTCTGTTATATTCTGATACATGATCCATATCTTTCAGCCTGATCCTATTCCAGGAAAGAGATAAACGTGTGGCATTCGTAGTGAGCTTTTATATTCGGACATCTGTGACATCTGATCCATGTGTATGGTTGGTGTTCGCGAAATTTTCTTCGATACAACAGCATTTACCTGAATCACAGAAATATCAGAAAAGATAAAATGTGGTTTACCATTCTCCTCCAATCGGGCTGATGAAGATGAGTGAAAAGATAAAAAAATGAGTGAAAACTAGGTCATTTGTAAATTTGTATTTTAATTTGCATTTCAATTTTGTATTTTAATCTGTATTTTAATTTCGACCAAAGCTGTTCAGCAACACAGAAAAAAATCGGAGATTACAAAGACGTATTACGTATTATGGATACAATAAAGACTTGCAATAGGCAGATTTAGCTTTTACATAATGTATCTTTAATGCAATCTGAAATTGTATAGATCATTTGGCACAAAAGTTGTGCTGCCTCTGGTATACACAATTACATAGATGTTTTTCTACGATTTTGATAACGAAACCTAGCTACTCACTCTGTTGAATAAAGTACAGATATCGTCATGTTTAGCGTGCTTCATGAAAACTTTAACAATGGCTTCAATATACCAACTACCTCGTTCACGATTTCTCCATGCATAATATCCTGAAATTAAACATTAAAGGCATACATCACAATTTCTCCTGAAATTAAACATTAAAGGCATACATCGTTCTGTGATTAACACAAAGACATTAATACCAAAAAGGTAAAAAAAAACTTACACTGTGAGCTATGATAGAAATTTCACTCTGAGAATAATGTTTCTACTCAAATGTACTCTTTCCAGAGTGGGAGAGAAATAGGGTTTAATGTCCACTCCACACAAGCTAGGTCAATTCGGGACCAACATATGGGTCAAGGAATTATTGAGCGTAGGGGTCTTTAGCAGCGAGAGGACCCAGAGAAAACCATGAGGTTGGACGGGCGACCCTACTCCTTGTCACTTTCAAGCATGGTATCGAAACCATGACACTTAATGACAGACCTTGTGATTTCAGGAGCAATGTTAACCCACTAGACCACCCAACCCCCGTACGCGTAAAACCACTTGACCAACTTCCACACGCGTTACACCACTAGAACATCAAACTTCCACATACGTTAAACCACATGACCACCCAATCTCCGCACATGTTTAACTGCTAGACCACTCAACGCCCTGCACGCTAATGTGAATACTGGACCTAATTCTTTTGACTAGATGCAGTTCCTTGCCAGTCCCTCGTCCTGCAGCAATGACAAAGGGAAACCAGGCTGAATCTTTCTCAGTCAACACCTTCTGTCTAATGAGCTAGCGCCGTTCTCACTGAACCACCATGCTCTATTTAGAATCAAAGTCTTTGAGAAATAATTACTTAAACTCACCAGCCTGTGTAGGATAGCCAATAATCATGTCGGATAAAGTGGGAACTTGTTTCACCACTGGACTACCATCTGTTTCATCTAAACTTACACCACGATCAAACGTTTCTATAAAATATACACATTTAAATCTTACTCTCATAGATTCAGGAAATATCTATATCACGGTTAGTGCTAAATCATAAGGCCAGCTAAATTTTTCGTCATAGGTCATGAGATGTAAATAGGGCTAGCACTAATCCCAACCCTAACCCTGGACCTAGCCCCAATGCTTACCCTAACCCACAATCTCGCCAACAATCACGAGCCCTAACCTTATTTACATCTCAGCGACCTTGACAGAAATTGAGCTGGCCTTAACAAATAGATTTAACCCTATATCATTATATCAAATATACAATAGAAATTATTTCAAATGTACTTCTACAAAATATATACACATTAAAATCTTACTCTCTTAAGATTCAGAAAATATCTACAGTACATGATTAAAATACAGATTTATATTTCGTTTCGGTTTTTTTTTTATACTTTTGATGGCCTCTACCATATGTAGATCTGACCAGTTGTAGTGGGAGGTTGCATCTGGGGTCCTACGAGCGGTTTTTGAACCTATGACATCAGACATTTGATTAACCAATCAGCGTTGATGTTTCAAGTAAGATACCCACAGTTCAGTGCATCGCGCGCCAAGAACTCGCTGCAACAGACCGTCTCATTGACTAATCCCTAACATCAACTAGAACACAGGTTATATAAGAACTCTTCCAGATCCCAAGTAAAACGAAATGTTGAACTATAAAAAACAAAACGAAGTAGGATATGTGTTTTAATCAGATTGTAAACATACAATACAAATCCTTGCAAACGTGGGAGATTGTGTTAGCAAAAGGACTGACCAAGAAAGTCAGCAAGGTTATTATCTATTAAGATTTAGGACTGGATAATCTATGTGTTACACAACTATTTTCCATTAAGATTTAGGACTGGATAATCTATGTGTTACACAACTATTTTCCATTAAGATTTAGGACTGGGTAATAGTCTACAAGGGTGAAATAGTCCAAGGAAATGGTCGTTTATTTTATTTACTACTTTAGATTTCGCTTGAAATCCCTCTCGAAAAAAAAAAATACAATACACATCAAACATAATTAAATTGCTAAACAAAAGGCAGTGTTTTCATGGGACAATAAAGTCGTGTCAGATTGAATTGAAAATAAAGAAGTTTTTCTGTTCAGGCAGTAGAATGATTTACGACACCTGACACGACTTTATTTTCCCACGAAAACACTGCCTTTTGTTTAGCAATTTAATTATATTTGATGTGTATTGTATAATGCGTCTCCAAACAAAGGGCCTTCTTTTAATAAGACTACAGGTATTCCTACCTCCTCGACATGCCTGTATTATAAATATCTTCGGCTTTCCACGTAATCCGCTACATCTGTTATTATCAAACAACGAGAAAACATAGTCTAACACAATCTTCTCTCCATCTGTTCCGTAAATATACCCTTCTTCTCCGTGACTCAACAAACAAATAAAAGATGCGTTACTTTCTTCATGTTTCTCCGATTTTGAAAAGTTGGTGACTTTTTCCAGGATTTCCTGAAACAGGTAAAATGATACTGACAGTATGAATATAGTAGAGAAGAGATTTTATAAAAATGATAACATGTAACATTGAGAGAAATGGGGTTTAACATCCACTTGACACAAACTAGGTCATTTCGGGATTAATATATGATTCCCCTTAGTGTAGGGGTCTTTAGCAGTGGAAGGAAACTGGAGGACAAAGAAAATACATGAAGATGCACAGTGAGTCGAAACCATGCCACTTGACTCAATGGCAGACCGAAACAATATTTTATTCATTTAAATTTACAAGAATTCCAACTGAAACGGGATCTTTTACGTGCATGCCAATGTATACTTTGGACCTTGGTTTTTCATAGAATCCGAACGACTAGACAGCTATCCTTGTCTGGCCCTCCATCCTGCACATGTCGGAAAATCCTGATGAACTTTTCGGCCAATGTAGGAATCGAACACCTGACCTCCAGGCTAGCGAGCCAGTGTCTTGCCCACTTAGCCACCGTGGCTCCAAAATTCTGTACAAATTAAAACCTAATTTAATTGCGTAATAATTAAAACTGATTTTATTGGAAATTTTTAAATAACCTACCCTTGCAGTCAGACCATCAGTATCATTATATACCGTCACATTGAAATGTAGTTGAAGGAGAAGAAAATGGATATTATCTCTGTCGATATCAGTTCCCCGTCTCGGGGGTTTACCTGTCACCTCATTAACGTTAATTATTAACGCTTCACCTCGTGGTAATTTTTTCATAGGATATGACTGAAATAAAAACCAACAAAATTAGATGATTTCATTTGTTTTAACTTTCTATGAACCCAAGATTGGATAATAAATGTTGAGTATTTAAACTATTAACTCCCCCAAAACATTCTCCATATCCGTCTTGGTATTCAGTGGCAGACACAGGATATTTGGTGATGTCAGGTTCCCACTGTCGTGCGATGCTTTAAAGGTCACCGGAAAAGGTTCATAAATTTTTTAAATAATGCAAGTAATTATGTCAACATATCCTTTCCATAAGTATAACACGAACCCGAATGTCAATATTACCTGCAACAGGTAAATTTCAACGTTAGCAATTTCCGCCATTCTCCGTGGGTAGTCGTAACTTTCCGTAAATTTGACGTCATTTTAGTCCTTCTGCTCATATTCTAGTCTATATTTCTATGTGCAGAAGGACTAAAATGACGTCACGGATTGCTTATTGACGGAAAATTCCGACTACCGACGGAGAACGGCGGAAATTACTAATGTTGAAATTTACCTGTTGCAGGTATTATTGACGTTCGGGCTCGGGTTATACTTATGGAAAGGATATGTTGACATAATTACTTGCATTATTTAAAAAAAAAATTGATGCTTTTCCGGTGACCTTTAAGATCGGATTGTCCCTATTAAGTCCACCATCTGGCACGTTTTGATACGTTCGGATAAGTTTCAATACGATCAACACAATTGCTACAACTTGATAGGACCACCACAATTAAAACCACGATTTCAATCGCAGCATTAATCGTGATAGTGGGAACCTAGCATAAGCAGAGGGAGGCCCAGGGTCCTCCTCCGAGAAAATTTGTAAAAATTGTCGTGTCAATGGTACATTGTGGTGCATATCTGGACACAAATATAAAATTCAATTTAATCAGCAATAAACAACAAAAAACTCAAATTCACACGTTTCAATGAATATCTTAGACTGTGTCTTACGGGAGGGGGAATACCCAGTATTGTTCAATTATTGTTGTAAAATATATTTGGTACTGGCATGTAGATAACACCTGGGTGATGTTGATACTGATAACAGATAGAAAGTAAATAAAATTACTGATTCTGGTAAATTTCTGGCTGTTCTGAGACTCGGTGATAAAAGATAGTGGGGATAAGCTCAAAAATTTTGTATGTTCTGGAATTTTGTTCCACTGACTCAATGATAAAAGATTGGGGAAAAAGATTGGTGTTTTGTAATATTTTCTATCAAGTACAAATTGTAAGTATATCTGTGCCTCATTACCAAAAATCTGACTGACAGATATAATTCATAGTCAGACATTTTCATTGAGTCAGATGAGGCTAAAAAGATGATCAGAATCATGGATATCCAGTATATAAGATAGTAACAGAACTCGGAACACTTCAAATTTCAGGAGGTTTTTTTACCAGATTCCAGGAGATCCTGTATAGAATTCTACATCATAATGTAATTTTTTTACGCTTCAAGAACATTGTTCGACTGACACCAGTCCATTTACGGCAACGAACTCGTGAACTTTTGAAGAAACATTTGATGACTATGATCAGTTTTATATCTTAAAATATATAGCAAAACCACAAATGTTAATTTTCCAGGAGTTTGAAGGAGAAATCTTGTGTTTCCAGGATTTTCCAGTAGTGGAAATCACATTTTCATTTTTCCAGGATTTTCAAGGAGTTTCAAGGAGTGTGCGAACCTTGTTTATGGGAAACAATCACAGGTTTTATTCTATAAGTATGACGTACCCAATATATTCGATATTCATAGTGAAGCCACTCAACATACATTATGCAAGAGCTAAATCTGCCTATTACAGGTCTTTCTTTATGTCTAAAATGTTATATAAAATATTAATTAGACATCTATTAACAAAACAAGGCCATAATCGACTCTTGATGGCATCGAATACTAGAGATTTTAACTAGATTAAAACGGTTCTCTATTTAAAAATTTAATTCAAAAATGTGAAAGCGAGGCTAAGATGCGATTATACCAGTGCCCTGGTTACCACTGTGCACACATCTTGTCAAAACTACAAACAATGATAACTTGGCTGAGAATGAAGTTTTCAATATTTTCTTTTTTTATCATCTATTTTTGAATTATTATAGCAAGAATGACCAACTCTTTATTAAACTCTTAACTAATGTATCTTTAAAGATTATGTAAGACAGCAGACAACACCCTGATGGTTTTTAGAATTCTGTATCGTTGCAAAAGAAGTCCTGACAGTTGTGACTAGAAAAGAATTACCTGTCTTTGATTCTCTATAAAGAACTGCCTGGTTGAACTTTCTACACATACATTAACAGGTCCATCTGTTAGATCTATATCATTATCAACCATATTATCACATATTACACGCTGTTCATTTGATACGACTTCTCTTCTTATCACTGGTTAAAATATGAAATATAAAATACCCATATTAAATATTCTATCATTTTACTATTGGGCTTTCCCTTTTTCCATTAAAGGACAATAGTAGTGTCAGTCATTATCATGTGATAGAACTGGTTAAACACATTCCAAATATAATTTTAACACAGATATCATTGCTACGATAGATGTGTTATTAAGATTTCAAGAAATGGAAGTGATGAACGCTAAAGAAAAACTCAAGTTATCCTTCTGTTTAACTGACATTTGGTCTTCGAAGGAATTATTAGTGAGAAGAAATTCGCCTGTGTATCTGTTATCACTCGTCACTTCAGTCAGTTACTGGTATAGAAGGATAACTTGTGTTTTCCTTTTGCGTTCGTCACTTCCTATTGTTGAAACATTGATTACTCACCTATCGTAGCAATGATCTTTGTGTTAAAATTATATTTGGAACAGGTTTAACCAGTTCTATCTCATATGTGATAATGACTGGCACCAATATCGTCCTTTAATACAATATAATTGTGGTACCGAGATTCGCAAACAATTTAACATTAGGTCAGTCTCAGATAGGAAATCTGTCTTCATTACCTCAGTCGGTGCAAAACAGTAGAATGTTTTAATAAACCCCTTTTCATTTCAGATAGGGAGAGTGAGAGAAATGTAATTTTAACGTCCACTCAACACAAACTATGTCATTTCAGAACTAACAGACAGTTCAATTTTATTTCAATAATTCGCTTGTGCGTAGTGGTCTTTAGCAGTGGAGGACCCGGAGAAACCCCACAAAGTTGGACAGATGACCCTACCAATTGACTCAATGACAGACCCTATGATACACGCTCATGCATTAACCATTCGGCCACCCCCCCACCCCACCCCCTATTTTACATAGAAAATAATATGACACTGTTCTCAAATAATGTTCAGTTTCCACTTTTTAGTAGTACACACTCGGGAGACCAAGTGGCTCAGTGAGTAGGTTGCTGGCTCACTAACCTGGAGGTCCCCTGTTTGATCCTGGTGATGGCGGAGAAATATTATCAGGATTTTCTGGCATGGTTCCCCCTTGTCAGTCGTACAGGACAGGGGGCCTAGCAAGGAACAACGAATGGTCGTTCGGATGGGACATGGACTAGACAGTATTTCATCACCACGTTAATTCCATTTCACAGTGGTATCATGAGACATGTAAACTCGTTGCTATTGCCAAACTCGGCCTGTGTTTGCTCAGTTGGTGGAGACAAGTAGGCCATTAAACCCGATTCCATTTCCATTTATGTGTACATAAGACTTGCATGTTTTTTGTGAAACAAATTATGGCAAGCTTAATTTCCTTGATTCTACATCTACTCACCTGAAACATATGAATCATTTTCTACTCTAGAGTTATCTCTCTTGATTTCACTCTCTGTTGATTGCGAATCTCTTCTAGGTATCAAATTCCTCATGGTATCTAAAAAAAATATATCAAATAAAAATAAATAAAGCCTTAATAAATAAATGTTTATACAAACAAAACAGCCATCCCCTACCAGTACCAGGGAGTTCCATTGTAAACTATTTTATTTTTCAAATGATCAATGTTAATACATTTGCTGGCACCAGGCAAAACATTACATTGTTTTCAATTTTCTTAAAGGACAATATTAGTGACAGTCATTATCACTGTGTGTGAGATTGTGAGAGGATATCTGACAATTCATGAAAAAAATTGACTGTCACTATATAAGAGAACACGAAAGAAAAATAGAAAAAGTCTGTAAAATGAAATGAAATGAAATCGGGTTTAACGCCCTACTGTTTTTATAAGGTACAGAATGAATAAACACATTAGGGAATGTACAGGCTATTTCTATTTTTCTTGTGTTCTCTTATCTAATGACATTCAATTACTTTTTTGAATTGTCAGATATCCTATTACAGTCCCATATAACAACTTTTGGTCTTCGAAGGAATTATTAGTGAGCAGAAATTCGCCCATGTATCTGTTATCACTCGTCACTTCAGTCAGTTATATAGAGGGATAACTCGTGTTTTCCTTTTGTGTTCGTCATTTCTGATTGTTGAAAACTGCATTACGCATCTATCGTAGCAATGATCTCTATGTTAAAATTATATTTGCAACGTGTTTAACCATTTCTATCACATATGTGATAATGACTGGCACCAATATTGTCCTTTAAGTGTGCCTCTAATAATTGTTATTTTAATAAGATTTTTAAATACTGGTGGACGTCAATAAATTAATAAATTTTAATAAATTTACATACAGATTTAAAAAATAAATACATCACCTATACTATCACATCGTGCGAGTTTCTCCATTGAAGGAGAAACAGTTTCTGTACACTGTTGATGATTTTGTGTTGGAACAGGAATAAATTGAGAATTAGGAGTTTGACTCATGGAAGCCCGTGGATCTAATATATAATGTTTTGTCAAAAAAACTTGCTCGTTCACCATATAAGGTCTTTTGGAGGCAAGTAGCAATCTTTCTGGATTCCCATACTGTGAAACATATTTTAGGGCTATATCTCCTTCTTTGGTATTTTTGATAAAAAGTTGTGTTGGCGACAGGGATCGTGTTCTCTTGACCCCTCGGAGTTCCTCGTTCGAAACTTGTACACTGGATTTAGGTTTCAAAAACTCAGTCACGATACTTTCTTGGTCATCGGCTATCAGAGCTTCACAAAATTTGTCGAAACAGTCGGGACCACGTTTCGGTAAAATATCTAATAATTCTTCGGATTGTTCATCTGGACTTCGACCATTCTACAAAAAAACAAAACATGATCAGCAGGCCTGGAATTAATGGCAAGCATCATCAAACTGGTAACTAACATTTATAACTTCGTGCCAGATTAAGAACATCAAAAACAGTCGTTGTTGTATTTTAGAGGAGAGTCGAAAAAAGCTCCTCTTAATCAACAAATTGAAAAAATCGTTCCCCTAGAAAAGCTCTCCCAGTTTCGATAAGAGTGATGTAGAAATTAAGAAGAGTGATTTAGAAATTAAGAAGAGTGGTCTGATATTAAGGAGAGTGATTAGTTGTATGTATGGGAAATGGTTCTGAAGATCAATAACAGCATGTTAGGGGGTCATTCCTGATTTTATAAATGATAATAAACACACGATGACTTTGTAAAGGAGAGTTATTTTCAATTTTAAGGAGAGGGAGAAAAACTCCTCCTCGGTCGACATTTAAGTGAGTAGCAGGCGCCCGTGAGCGATCGCTCGCCTTAAAAAACAACGACTGCAATAAAAACACTGCAAAAAAATTTATTACAGACTAAATGACAGACAATAGAGGATTTATGCCTGGTCAAGACTGAATTTGTCAATTACAGGTACCTTATTTTCAGGCTTCATGATAAGCTAACGGTACATACATGAAAGCATTAATCAAATTCTATGATCTATTCTTTAAATGGCATTTAGTAATTGGATCATAATCAAATAACACACTATTTATGGATAACAATTACTGTGGTTTATTTCACTGCGACGTTTCAACAAGATTTTACAAGTCGTTATCAAGCATACTGTCCCTACAGTATATTAGAATATATTAGACATCAATATGGAGATGTGGCTGTCAACCTTATTAACCAAATATGTAAGTGTGAAGATAAGTATATACGTACATGCAACAGTGTTACCTTTTTAATGAGATGTAGGGACAGTATGCTTGATAACGACTTGTGAAATCTTGTTGAAACGTCGCAGTGAAATAAACCACAGTAATTGTTATCCATAAATAGTGTGTTATTTAAATTCTATGATCATTAATATCATTTTTTAAGAGATTGAGGCATGTTTATCTTCTGAGTGTGGGAGCCACGATGACTAAGTGGGTAAGACACTGGCTCGCTAGCCTGGAGGTCGGGAGTTCGATTCCTGCATTGGCCGAGAAAGTTCATCAGTATTTTCCGACCTGGTTTCCCCTTGTTAGTGGTGCAAGACGGACAGCCTGACAAGGACAGCTGTCTAGTCATTCGGATGGGACTAAAAACCAAGGTTCCGTGTATACATTGGCATGCATTTTGCAAGAGATGGATAGAGAACAAGCTAAAAACAAAAACTATTTTTTGTATAATCTGGGGCCATAATTCAGGAAGTTACAATGCGATATGAGTGAATATCGAAAGGAAACAAGATATTTGGGTTATAAACATGCATTTCAAGCTTCATCAAAATCGGATCAAAATTGTGACCTCTAGAGTGTCCACAAGCTAAAAACGTGATTTTTCGTACAATCAGGGGCCATAATCCATGAAGTTATGGTCCGATACATGCCAATATCGAAAGGAACCGAGATCTTTGGGAGATAGACCTATATTTCAAATTGTGACCTGTAGGTCCACAACCAAATTGTGGATGGACGGACGAACGGATAGGGGCGACGATAATATACGTCCACATGAAAATGTGGACGTATAAAAATTTAATGATCATATAAATATAATCTTAAAATGATGAGGCATATATTTTTTCTGAGTCCACATTCATACAAATTTCTATTTTATTCAACCTACCCTGATCGTTCTGACCATTCGTTGATTTAAAACTTTGCGGGTTATAAGCTGAGTAAACAGACCATCGTTGGTGTTTAAATTCTCCACCAGTTCTGAACGCTTCCGTATCAAAAGATCTCGATGTTTGGGATCCATCTTCAATCATTGAATCAAGTTTTACGAATAATTAGCTAGGCTAGACCATCAGGGCTACAAGTAATGAAATTAATTCTATGAACATAAAAGCAAAAATTTTAACATGGCGAAAACAGAATCGAATTAAATTCAGTTTAATAATTCAAATTGATTTAATTAAATGATTAATGCTTACAAGTCTTAATTCATTCCTGGCAACTTGAACTGAATAATTTTCTCAGTTCTAAATTTAGGCCTATATGTATGCCAGTATTAGAAAGTGACATCAGCATTTGAAATATTTCTTTCTTTGTTTCCAAAACTTTAAATCTTCTACATGTTCAGACAAGTATGATGTAACAGCTGCCCATTTAATTGGTACCGTAATTGATTGGTTTCCATGGCAACCGAGATGAGAAAAACTGTCGCTTGATTTATTTCTCATTCGGCACTACTACTACTAGTGAAAGTTTTTCGAGAAGACCAAACTAATTTTTCCTTGGACTTCGACAACTATTGAAATGGAGTGAAAATTGCGAAGTTTTTAACAGGCCATGCAAAAGGATGGAGGGGTGGTGACTGATGGATCCGGGAAAGGGGGACTATTTCATTATTTGACAGTTGACAACATTTAGCTCAAATTTGGTTTAACCCACTTGATCACTTCAATTATCCGCCATTTTTAAAAGGATCGTCCAAGTTTTGAGCTGAATCAGTTATTAACAACTTATTTCTATATAACTAAATGAGTTTAACCAAACAACTATTGCATATCACCTGTACATTCTCAATTTAACGGTACATAACACCATACGCAATAATCGTGGGGTATCGTTTGGCGCCAATTAAGCGTGTAAAGAAGTCCAGTTTTACCAGACCCTTTCCACATTCAGTTGAAAACAGCTAGAGATACTGGACAAACAGGACCACGTACCGTTATCTATATGACGTCATGAACAGGTGCCCGAGGGGAGATAATCATGTATGGGAACTGGGATCAGACCACAGTTTATATCTCCAATGATTTTATTCAATTTCTTCTTGAACATTACTGGGAATCTAAAAGAAACAAACATGTGCTGTTACAATCAGCTTATCAAAAACTGTGAGCGGGGTACAGGGGTTGTTGACACACAATCTAATTGAAAGTTGTGGCAGCCCCCCCCCCCACGGCCCACCCCAACTACACAACAACCACTATGTCTAGCCTAAAATCTAAAATAAATCTAAAATAAAAACAACCAGTCCTGGAAGTTGTATATAATCAATTAGTTATTATCATGGACTATAAAGTCCATGCAGCCTATATGGCGCAGGGCAAAAGTTTCAGTGACACCCCCCTCCGCCCCCCCTTGTTTCATACTGTAACTGCTTTGTTCAGTACCCACTCTCAGTAGATTTTTTATGATTCAAAGAATTTTAAAATACAATATTTATTAAGAATATTCTTACAAAATGAATATTTCTGGTATGCACTTAGATAATTTGCACCCCCACCCCCAAGAAGTGTCCCCCTCAGCCTCCCCCTATGTGAGGGCCCTGGGTCCATGATATTATGTAAGAGATTATAAATGATATATAAGGCAACAGTAAACTATAATATATTATTGTTTATTGATCTAAAGATCCATGACTGTATTGTGGAATAAATATTATTAAGTTCACCACCTGTGATATTCAATATTTGATTAACATGTACCCTGGTTATATAGCAATCATAACATTATCCTAGCCAATTTACCATTGGAATTGCTCAACTTGCAACTGATAGTAGCACTAGGTATTTTCAGCCAAAACTGGAAAACAGTCTTGTACTAACAACATACTCAAAATATACATAATTTGGGGAAAAGTTATTTTTAAAATATTCACTAAGCCACCCTTGGTCCCTCTGATTATTTCAGGGAAAGTATACAACAGCATATAATATTATGTACTGTACTGTACTGTACTGTACTGTACGAAACAAGAGGGGGGAACAGCAATACTCCCTTAAAAAATTAGCGGAGGCTGAAACAGGGGGGCTTCTAGTGGTTCATCAATGAGTCAACTGGCGTGGTTTCGATTCCCTGCCTGAATGTGACAAGTAGTATGGGCGTCTGTCCAACCTCGAGGGTTTTCTCCAGGTCCTCCGTTTTCCTCCCACTGCTTATGACCCCCTGCGCAAGTGAATTATTAAAATAAAATTGAACCATATGTTAGTCCCGAAATGACCTAGTTTGTGTCGAGTGGACATTAAACCCCAATTTTCTCTCTCGTTAACCCGAAATGTTATGAAAATGAATAAACCTCCCTTCGTTTCTTACTTAAAGAACTGCTGTAGAGCTGGGATGTTTTAAATATATATTTTATGTACCTACAAGACTGGTTATATTAACAATACATAGTTTGATGACCAATTTATACATAATATAACATTATATGACATATTGTTATATCACATGGTATAAGTTATTGTTCTATAATTACCTATAACCATCAGACAGTATAACAAGTAATTAATCAGACAGAGAAACAACACACCATTGTCTGATATTATATGTAATGCATTATAGCCATTGACCTATGACCTGTCTTGTATCAGTTGTGATTGACACAAGACATGTCTCTCATTAACATCTGATTGTAAGTTTCAGTAACTAATAGGACATTTAATTTGTATTGAATGGTTCATTATAGCTTCTGTTCAACTGTCAATCAAAGTCTGTTACTAAGAAATTGAAGAAATAAATGATTCTCTTGTTTGATCAAGGGGTGCAGGTTCACAAATGGAATATTTGTTTCTGAACCATCTAGGCCTATTTATGCCTTAAAATGTGCTATGAGTGGAATTTGACTTGACAGCCTATTCTTATTGTGAATTCCAACTGACAAGGAAAATGAAATGAAATGAAATGGGGTTTAACGTCCTACTGTTCTGCTCCTAAACTGGGCTAATGAAGACGGGCATACGCCATACAGTGTGCTATGAGGGAAATTTTGCCCGGGCAGCGGCGCTACGGCCTACACTTATATCGAATTCCAACTGCCAAGGGATCTTTTACGTGCACGCCTATATGTACACGGGACCTCGGTTTTTCGACCCATCCGAACAACTAGAAAGCTGTCCTTGTCAGGCCCTCCGTCCTGCATCACTGACAAGGGGAAACCACGCTGGAAAATCTGGATGAACTTTCTCGGCCAATGCAGGGATCGAACACCTGACCTCCAGGCTAGCGAGCCAGCGTCTTACCCACTTAGCCACGTGATCCCCCAACTGACAAGGGTTCTTCATGTGTACACCAATGTATACACAGGACCACCAAATGACTATACATTGTACCCACACTGATCAGCAGTGAATTTTCGCTAGGCCACCACTACAATCACTGATAATAGGATGACATCGATGCAACTTAATGAGTCCCAAATATTAACTTTTTTCTTCCGTCAAATTAAATTCTAAAACATTTTTTTCATTTATTGGAAAAATAAATAAAGACGTTTGAATTGTTTGTAGGTAAAAATCATTTCCTATTTAGTGTAAATGGGTATTAAAATAAGTAAAATTCACCATTTAGCCCGAATCAGTAACGTCTTATGTAAACAATCCACGCACTATTGAGCCAATGATTGACGCCGCGTGGTGATGTGACGTCACGTGTCGAAACAGTCATCTGTAACAGAGATATTAAAAGATCTCTGTGAAACAGATTGCATTGTCCCTGGAAAATCCTAAGCTACAGCCTTATTTCAAATTGCAACTGTTAACAGTTCTTTAACTGACATGCTGACATGTACACAAGACCTTGTGTTCGTACAATCTGATCGACTTGATGTTGTTTATTGTCAGACAGGAACCCTGTCTTTAAAGTTACAATTTCATATTTTGAAGTTATATTTTTAAAATTTATTAAAATAAAGCCTTAAAATAGATGATATCTATAAACAGCCCTACCTTGTTAAAGAATAATCCTAATAATAATATAATTCACTATTTGCAGTTGAGAAATTGGCAAAAATATCATTTTCAACTTCAAATTCAAATGTTTGAAGATAGCTATTCCATGGGGGGAATAGGAAAACAAGGGAGGTAATTGTGTTATTATTTCCTGTGTCAATGATTTTTAAGTGTGGGAAATAATGCCTATGATCGTATAATAGTGAGTTGATAACCTATTGAGCAAAAAACAAAGAAATAATTATGTTTTGACTTTCTTAGAAAATATGAAATTCTCGCTTTAATAAAATTGTCTTTTACCATGGGTTTAATGTTTTACATTATTCCTGCATTAACCTGCTAATGAAGACCGGGATACACCATGCAATGTGCTATGAGAGAGAAAAATAAATAGGGTCATTTTGGGACTAACATATGATTCAATTTAATTTCAATAATTCCCTTGCACGTAGGGTTTTTTTTAGCAGTGGGAGGAGATCGGAAAACCCAGAGAAAACCCATGAGGTTGGACAGACGACCCTTGCCACGGACAACCTGGGAATCGTAGGGTGTTTTAGCAGTGGGAGGAAACCGGAGAACCAAGAGAAAACCCATGCGGTTTGACAGACGACCCTTGCCACGTACAACCTGGGAATCGAAACCATGCCACTTGACCGCCTGAGTATTGTGGCAGTGCTTAACTCACTGCTCCTCTCCTGTCTTTAATAAGATTATCTTCAACCAAGTAATCCTTAATACTTTCTCTATTCTCCCCCACCCCCCTCCCAACACCTCAAAATACATGAAATGGGGTTTAGAAGATGGGCTAATGAAGATGGGCATACGCCATACAGTGTGCTGTGAGGTAAATTTTTCCCGGACAGCCATGCCACGACCTACTCTTATATCAAATTCCAACTGGCAGTGGATCTTTTACATGCACGCCAATGTGTACACGAGACCTTGGTTTTTGGTCCCATCTGATCAACTAGACAGCTGTCCATGTCGGGCCCTCTGCCCTGCATCACTGATAAGGGGGAAACCACGCCAGAAAATCCTGATGAACTTTCTCGGCCAACACCAAAATAAAATAAACAAAAGGCGTTTAAGGTACCTATATTTAATTTAATATTTTATTATCATAAGACAGTTAATGGACACTCTTGCATTTGAACTAATTTAGCCAAGTAACAATAAAGCATACAGAGAGAATTGTACATGTAAATCTAGTTACTACTAGCCAAGGGGAGATAATCACAAGCATTTACCTAATATTAACTATCCTATAATCAATAATATTAATAATCACTAGGGGGAATTCAACAAGGTCAATTACAGATCCTTAAAAATATCATGCATGTGCTTCTTGAGATACGTTGTAATGAAAATTAGTCGGAGTTCGCCAATATGAAAATGGAGTTCCTTAAACAGCTAAGTGAGTACATGTAAAACATAACTAAAATTTATAAAATTGTGATAATAAATTTAAACATAATATTTAATATGTAAAAAATAGCAAAAAAAGAATGAGATAGCTCTCATTGTCGTGAATTTCTCACTAAAAATTATTTTTAAATCTGAGAAAAGATTGCAAATCTAGGGAAAGATACTTTTTTAAAATATTTTTTTTCAAAATCAAGTCTTAGTGAGAAAAGATGAAAAAAATCTGAGTTTGGGTCATTTGGTTGGTTTTTCTTTTTTCTAATTATTAAAAACACACCTCCAAGTCTCAGATCTTTGTGTTTAGTAAGAAAACACATAGCAAAAACATTCAGAGGCCAATTTCTTAGTTTCCTTATTTCTATGTTTTAATTATAGATCGTGGATTGAGAGTCAAAAAGGTCTACGAAATTCACTTCTTTTTTTTTTCTATTTTTCAAAATCAGAATTTCCCTGCACGTCTTAAGAAACACAAGATCTTTTGTACGCTATTTCAATGTGACGTTTCTATACAATATCGTGATTCTTAACGTAATTCGTGTTTTGGCACTCAACAATTTGATCAAAACTCGGATACAACCTTTTGAATCTGCAGTGAGGCTGTCCACCGGTTAAATCTCCCAAAATCAAGGAAAAAAGAAGGGCGACGATGTCCAAATATAATTGTCCTTAAAATTGACCATAATAAAAACAGAATGTACATTGAGATATTTATATAAATATTATTTAAAAATTTTCTACATAATAACATGTTAAAAATCACAACTTCCTAATTAAACAGAAATTCTATTTCTCCATCAGAATTATTTTATTTTTAATTAGTAAGTATTAGGTTTAGTTTTCTTATGTTGTATAACCTTTCGACTTGATTTAAAAAAATTTAGACTCAAATATTTTCAAGATTGTTTCTTTTCTTTTGTTAAAATTTGTACTACTAATTCCTCCAAAAACGCAAAAAATATTTCAATTTAAATTTTTCTGAATACCACTTCGGGCTATATAAATACTAACAGTTTTCCTCAACAAGGCCTCTATACAATAAGCTTGGCAATCTAACTTTGAAAAACAAACTTATCAGAGTCACCGTGGTATGATACAGGTAAAGGAAATTGAATAAACTAAACCATTACCAGTTGTAGTCATAACAACCATAGTCACCATATATGGTTAGCAAAGTTATGAGTAATACTCGTACTCATTAACCATTGCTACACTCCTGTTTTGTACATGTATCAACAATAATATTCAATAATCCATATTGTATTCATTGTAGTGACCTCTAGGGTGCTTTGTTTCCAATTCAGGGCCTATTTAATCAGAACGAATGTGCAGGCTTACTTTTACGTAGGTGGAGCTTACAGAGTTCCAAGAAAATTCAATGGATGAACGTGGTTTTAATAATAAATTGGACTAGATTAATCTTTCTCCTTGGTCCAGTCCACAACTAAGTTAGTCACCCAGCCTTGGTATAGACTTAGCTATGATTGTCATACTACCATCCCTATAGAATAGAGACTAACCAATACCCATTACTTGTAGTACATTGTGCTTGTCAATACGACAATTACAGCACAATCCTTAACAAGGACGTCCCAACACAGTTGTGGTCAGAAGAGTTGATACCCTTGGTACAGACTTAGCTATGATTGTCGTAGCACCATCCTTAAAGAATACAGACTAACCAATACCCGTCATGCTTTTCAATACGACAATCACGGCACAATTGTACCCAGGACGACTAATGCAGTAGTAGTGGGCAGAAGAGGTGACAATGTGTGATGTAATAAGGAACATTTAAATATAAGCCAATAATAATGATCAAATATAATAGTAATTTTAAAAATTCACATAATTAAAGTAGCTAGTACAAATGTTTATCAAAACAACAAATGAAGTCATCTACAGTTCTTCTGGTTGAGATTCAACTAAAATTACATACTAGTGCTCGATCGAATACCCTTCAAAAATATTATAAAACCAAGTTTCAAACAGTACAAGGCTAAGTATTAAAAATTTAACAAAATTCTGGAAAACATACAGGCATTATGTGTGGTCTAAAGGTCAATGTCATGCTCAAAGATCATTTAACAACTTAAAATACAGATACTATCTCGCATGTGCATTTTAATGAAATCATCCCGCACGTCCAATAATTCATCTAGTATAAATAATAAGACTATTGGCACAATGCCCAAATTATTCTTTGAAATAATTATACCCAAACATCAAAGGATGACCCAATCATCAAAGGATGATGTCACATCTGTATTTTAAGTGTAATTAAATAGTCAAGTGCGAAACATGTGTCCAATATTTCAACTAGTATAAATAATGAGCGCCTAGCACATTGCTTGTACCACTATTTGAAACAATGGTACGCCAACATCAAAGGATGATGTCACATCTGTATTTTAATAACACTTAAGATCTGACATATGAGGTACTGTTTTGTTCTAATGCCAGCATCCTTTGATTACCTTTTCTGATAATTAAAAGAAAAAGATTAACTAGGTTATCAAATTTATTTGGAGAAAAAAACACTCAGATTATTACACTTGCCATTTGTGCAACTAACCGAGTCAATATTTGACTAGTGAAGTTTGATCATTTTTAAACCATTGATCAATTTTTTCAAGGCATGGCCTATAATTGCAACTAATCATTATAGAAATTTGTTCTTATTATCGAAAATATTATCAACTAATTATTTCAGAAATTTGTTCTGATTATCGAAAACATTTTCAAAGGTGTTTGAATATACGTCATACTCGAAGAATTTCTATCAACTAATTATTTCAGAAATTTGTTCTGATTATCGAAAACATTTTCAAAGGTGTTTGAATATACGTCATACTCGAAGAATTTCTATATTTTGTTAAAACTGTTTGAAGTAGAATTGCATGTAATTCCCTGAATTACTAAGCAAGGTATTATTATTATTACTATAGTCTAGTATAGAATGGGTTCGTAGGAAATGTTTTAAATATGGAGATCAAAAATACCAAGTGCATAATAAAAAAAAAAAAATCAAAAAAAATCAGCAGTTAATGCAAACAAAAAGCTCTGATGCATTAAATTAAAACAACATTTAATTCTTCCCCGTTCTACATTCTAGCTTGGCATTAAAATACCAGATTCAATTTAAATTAACACTTTTCCCCCATCTTAAATTCAAAATATTTCGAAAAAATCTGAACCCTCACACTCAGGCAAATGAAATAAAAATAATAAACTAAAAAAACAAAATAAACTATAATTACAATGTTTTATATCCAACTCACTTCTAAAGTGTACAAAATGGTGACTTGATATTTTACAAACTGGATTTTCATTTCTTAATTTAATGATACTCCACAAAAAAACTGTATTACATGAATTGATAATTTACAATTTGAATTTCAGATTTAGTTTTAGCAATTTTAACGCAGAGATGGAAGGCCTACAATCACTGAAGCAACAAGTAACATGACAGTTAAGCCAACAATTCAATAATTAACAGGACATTTTACAAGGGCATAAATTATGTACGGCACTACTGGCTTGGCCACATGGATTACAAAACACAACTACTAGCTCTCTTAAAACTAGAAATCAGACAATCTGTATCAAAAATTGAAATTATATCCACTTACTATCCTTTCCATCATAAAAGTTCTGCTAAAATGGTATCAACGAAAACAGTTACCTCTGGTGACTAGTGGCGTCCATTTCAGAAGGATTTTTCATAAGGATTTGGTTTTACTTAGTATGATAAATATTGCGTTTAAATCTTATTAAGCTTAATGGAGAGGAAATATCTAAATTTATTTCAAACTTAGAAAAAGATTGCCTGATCTGCTTTAATGTTGAAGATCGCATGTGAAATAATGTTTGTAATGCATGTGTCAAAGACAGTAGTTTCACGTGGAACAATCGTGGACTTTAAGCCATTCATCACAAAACAAAAATGGCAAACTCGTGAAGTTATATATATATCTTAATCTATATATAGACATCAAAAGATCCTGCCTGGTTTTTTATTCAACTCTTTAGAGACAAAGAGAGACAAACAACTGAATAAAAAGAAAGACAATTGTGTTGTATTTCACTGATAATACACGATTATAAATTGATAATATTTCAAGATTAAGAAATGACTAAATGAACATAATATCAAAGTTGAATATTTATTATTACGGTAATTGAATATCCATACATTTGGTCACAATCTAAATAGTGTCAGGATAAAATCACCATACATAGCTTTTAAATAAAGGGCTAGGCAGTTGAGTAATTAATGTCAGTTTGCTGGCTAGGAACACATTTAATGTCACAAAGTAACCATTTCAGATTATTAATAGTAATATATCGTTTACGTCACTGATACTCGCCAAGCCAGACACAAGGTCTGTGTCTGCACCGCATCTATGTAGATCGTACAAGTTAGATCAACGTATAGGCATATTACATTCTGCATGGTAATCATAAGGTCAAAAGCATTAAATAGTTCTTTCTAAATGATGAATCTCTAATCTTGTTCCTCGTTTTCTCCCGAGACATCGGAGGTCCAGAGCGTTAGATTATCACGGAGAAGCTGCATTATTAATGTACTGTCCTTATAATCCTCTTTACTTAGACCGTCAAGTTCAGCTATCGCAGCGTCAAATGCTTCCTTGGCTAAGCAACATGCCTTATCTGGTGAATTTAGGATTTCGTAGTAAAATACAGAGAAATTTAGTGCAAGACCGAGACGATTTGGATGTGTTGGTTGCATCTTGTCCTTCGCAAGATCATACGCCTCAAGATAGGCAGACTGGGCATTATCTATGGCAGCTTTTCGGGCATCTGCTTCAGCAAATTCAGCAATATACCTAAAGTAATCTCCCTTCATTTTCAAGTAAAAAACTTTAGCATCGTCGGCTTCAACGTTGGGCAATAAATCTTGGTCTAACAGTTCTAGTACTTCTCTACAGGTTTTATTCAGCTCATCTTCAACATTCTGTCGGAATTTCTTGGCGATTTCTTTCCTTTTCGGCGTCTCGGCTTTATTTTCAATCATGCATATCACTCTCCAAGACGATCTTCGGGCTCCAACAACATTTTTATAAGCTACTGAAAGTAAATTTCTCCTTTCCGAGGACAGTTCTTTTTCGCTTTTCGTAACCTTTTTCATGGCCGTTGCCATATCATCATATCTCTCCGCCTGCTCGGCTAATTTAGCCCACTGAATATTATCTTCGGTTTCCTTACACTTGTCGGGCATCTTGGTTGGTTTTTAGGTTTTAAAATTAGAGGAAAATATCAAAATAGCTAGTAGTTTTTAGTCTGTAGTTTTAATACAAACCCGGTAATTTAGAGAAGATGGCCGCCTTCTTGATAGTTCATTTGTTCCTACTTGATTACCCAGCCGCTAAAAATAACATTGAAATAGACATTGGCAATGGTTGTCTGGACAACTGAGATTAAAATCGACCGATTTCTTGACACGCGCAGTGCGGCGTCTTTCCAGGAGTTGCTTCCCTTCCACTGAATTTACCGTTATGACAGCTAAAAATAGTACGTTGATTTATTCTGCCCGAATCGTCACTCAACAAGTATTTCTACTCAAACGGAGAATGAATCACCGATAAACTAGCGCGAGTTGTAATTCTAGAATAAATAGAATATATATGATGTATTATGATTGCCCTTCTCTTTTACATCAATGAATAAATATACAGCATACAGAAATTTATTGTCGGTGAGATTAGGCTTATTATAATGTTATATTGTTTCATGTGTTCAATTCGAATGACACATAAATAAAAGTCTATCTATTACAATATATTGCGTAATGTAGTTTTTGTATATTAATACACGTTATGTCCCAACATTCTACAATAAAGGTTATAAAGAGTTTAAGATAATACACAACCACAATATTAGCCGATTTCATTAAAACTTATGTTAAAAAGTTAGGCCTACAAAAGTAGCCCACTTTCATCAAGAACTAGTTTAGTCTAAGTAAAATCTGACTATTCAAATCATCAATTTGAAGTTATGGTCCTTTAATTTAAAGTTTACACAACGCCACCTTTATGTGTTTAACACAAATAAAGAAATGACTCTCCTATCGTGTTGGTTACGTACAAGCCATGCGCGTGTACAAAGGGTGGGGATGGGCCCAAAATGGAAATGAAATGAAATGAAATGGGGTTTAACGTCCTACTGTTCTGCTCCTAACATGGGCTAATGAAGACGGGCATACACCATACAGTATGCGATGAGGGAAATTTTGCCCGGGCAGCGGCGCTATACGGCCTACACTTATATCGAATACCAACTGCCTAGGGATCTTTTACGTGCACGGTGCACGCCAATATGTACACGGTACCTCGGTTTTTCATCCCATCCGAACGACTAGACAGCTGTCCTTGTCAGGCCCCCCCATCCTGCATCACTGACGAGGGGAAACCACGCCGGAAAATCTGGATGAACTTTCTCGGCCAATGCAGGGATCGAACACCCGACCTCCAGGCTAGCGAGCCAGCGTCTTACCCACTTAGCCAGGGATGGGCCCAACCAGGCTGTATATTATTCCACAATATACCCTTTCTTCCTCAGCAATATGCCTTCTGTTGTAAATATTTCCACAATGTACCTTTTTTACCTCAATATGCCTTCTGTACTTTTTCACATCCCAACCCCTTGTGACAGGCGCGTATCCGGCGCACGCCCCCCACCCCCATTTTTTGCGGTGGCGAACAATATTTTGCTAAAATATATATTCTCGCGGGAAAGGAATTAACAGTCAATTTAGGTTGGAAATCGTAATTTACTCCGAAACGAGCCGGTTGGTGACTTGGTTGATTGCCCGGCAGTCCGCCCACCGAGGGCCGGGCTTCGCACTACCGAGTTTGGCCAGCCCCCCCCCCCCTTCTGAAAATCCTGAACCCGCCCCTGTGTGATCCCGGGTCTGAAATGTTTTGAAAGTTGCATGGCCTTTAACGTCATAATTTGGAGTATATCTGGGGTAACTGGTGGTCACTTTGCATTATATCATGTCTATTAATTGTGTGTTCTCAAAATAATTTGTCAGTGAAAATAATATCCGTTGTCATAGTCGAAGGATAAAGAGGAAGCGAGGGAGAGAGTGTTTGACGTCCACTGGACACAAACTAGGTCATTTCGGGACTAACATATGGTTCAATTTTATTTGAATAATTAGCTTGCGCGTAGGGGTCTTTAGCAGTGGGAGGAAACCGGATGACCCGGAGAAAACCCACGAGGTTGGACAGGCGACCCTACTCCTGGTCACGTACAACCGGGGAATCGAAACGACTCCAGTTGACCAAATGACAGACCTTATGATGAAGGATGAAGAAATATTTTTCAAAGAGTTAAAGAAATCTTTTTATTTTTTGTCATTCAGCGAATAACGTCAAACAAACAAACGTAAAACGCAATGCTGCTGTTTTAGCCTCGCTCCACTCTAATCGTTTTCATATATTATTATTTTTTTTTACAGCATATTTGTAGTGCGCTCTTTCATATAACATGTTCAGGGGCACTTTACAAAGTGACAACGTAATCATAAATAAACAACAAGATTATGGACATGTTAACGATTGTATACAGAGTCAGTTAAAAGCCTGATTTATTAAAGTTGTTTTTTAAAAAGAATATAGAGATGTACAACATCTTAAACTAAATGGTAGATTATTCCATAAAACAGGTGCTTGATAACTATATAAAAGAGTGCTGAGCATAAGAGACTAGTTGAACAGTTTGGGGCTTTAAAAGTAGTTTATCTGATATACGTAATGTTTGGCCAGGTGTATAAAGTTCTTAAAGATCTGAGAGGTAAACAGGAGCTAAATTATTTAAACATTTAAAAGTAAGTAATAAAATCTTAAAATCAATTCGATATTTAAAAGGTAACCAGTGTAAATTATATAAAACAGGAGTTATGTGATCACATTTCTTAGTTAAAGTAACAAGTCTAGCTGCAGTATTCTGTACTTATTGTAATTGATCTATAAGCTTTAAAGGTAAACCAACTAAAAGTGAATTAAAGTTATCTAATCGAGAAGTGACCAGAGAATTAACAAGTGACTTAGTGGCCTCTACAGTTACAAATTTACGTATTTTACCTATATTTCTGATATTAAAATAGCACAATTTACAGATATTATTTACTTGAGCTCCCATAAGCATAAAACTATCAAAGATTGCGCCAATATTACGAGCAGAATAAGATGGAAATATATCACAATTACAAATTACAACAGGGGGGTTATCATGTGCAAATTTACATAATTGTTGCCTTGAGCCTAATAACAGATATTCGGTTTTATCATCATTCAATTTTAGAACGTTCTTTGACATCCATTTTCTAATTTCACTAATACAGTTCTCAAGTTGCAATTTTGAAAAATTGAAAGAAGATGGACAAATTGTTCTATATTTTATAAATAAAACTTAAGTTAGAGACAGGTCTGTAATTTTTAAAACATTAGGATCCAGTGTTGTCTAAATGAGCACAAATCTTGCCTCAGATTTGATAAGATTCTCGGGTAATCACCAAGACCTCACGCCAAATTTGACGTTGTCTCCATCTTGGACCCCTCGCCCCCCCCCCCCCCCCTAAATGCTCAAATTTATGATTACGCCCCTGCAAGCCAGTCCAATCGAAATAAAGTTTTTATTATCTACACGTGTAATTAAACAACAGTCTGTACATTAAAATAGTGGGTCACATCCTTTTTTTTTAAAAATTTTGCCATAAAGGTAAACGACCTAGTTTGTTGTGACTCAGTGGCACTCGGCAAACCTCAAATGGAGGGCAGGCTACCGGAATCTGCTGGGGTGTGCCGAGTTACTCAGTAGTTATGGCTTTAGCACGTCTATCGAGTACCGAGTTCGATTCCGGTCTTGGCCGAGATAATTCCTCGGGATTTTCCAGTCCATCCTGCCCTCACCCCACCAGAACGAAAGGCCCGGCAAGGATAACCATACCGTCGTTTAAATCATGAATGGGACGAAAACCCGAAGTCCGCGTGTACGTAACAAGTACAGCTGTCTAGTCGTTCGGGTGGGACGAAAAACCGAGGTCCCGTGTATACATTGGCATGCACGTAAAAGATCCCTTGGCAGTTGGAATTCGATAGAAGACTGGGCCATAGTGGCGCTGCCTGGGCAAACTTTACCCTGTAGCACACTGTATGGCGTATTGCCGACTTCATTATCCCAGTCGGAGCAGAACAGTAGGCCGTTAAACACCCCATTTCATTTTCATTTTGCATTAACATGAGTTAAGCGTGTATGAGGGTGTCGGGGGGGGGGGGGTAGTTTACGTAATTAATCGAATGAACTGTACACCAAGAACAACAAAAAACCAACAACCCAGAACAAACGCTGGTATACAGTGTTCTATTTTTGTCGATTTACTGTCTTTTTATGCCATAAGGTGGGTCGGTAGGTATTTGGAGTACAATACAACAGATTAGCACCCTAGCAGATGGTAGTATGTGTGTAAAACCTTCAATAATTCATTGTCAATAATTACCTAATTTATTGATTAACAAAATGTCGTGTAAGATACATTATGTAAGATTTAGATAAAGAGCTAGCCGTTCTTGCTATAATAGCTCAAAAATAGATAATGCAAAATGAATATATTGAAATGTTATTCAAATTACTCTATTCTGAGCGAAGGTATTAGCCTTTGAGGATTTGACAAGATGTGTGCATTGATTGTAACCAATGTTACTGATTATTTGAAGTTAAGCCTTGTTTCTCCAGAGAGTTGGCAATGGTCTTGTATCAGCTAGATACGTATCAGTGTTAAGCCCGTTTTCACTGATTATTTTTGTCAAAAGTATCGAGCAATCAAACTACACACTAAGTTTCATCACTCTCTATCAGATAGAATCAAGATTATCTTGTCCCAAAGCATCGACCAATGAAATTGATTAGCTCTGATTAGCTTTAGCTTGAAATGTTACTCATTGAAATCAGTCAAGACATTCACCTAATGAACATTTACATCAGGTTTAAACATTCTACCTCAATTAAAAGCAGAGTTTTTATGTTCCAAAGTCTTGACCAATCAAATTGCTTATGCTCCTTAGCCCAGGAAGAAAATTCGCACAATCGAACTTAGTCAAGGTAATGATATAATAAATCTATATTCAGAGTTTCATCGCTCTCACTTCATTATAACCAAAGTTATCGTGCCCCTAAGGTATCAACCACTCAGATTGCTTATCTCTGCTTATGTCTGTAAGCAGACAATGTTCATCATCGAACTCCATCAAGGGATTCACCTAATGAATGCCTACACCAAGTTTGACATTCTACATCAATTAGAAGGAGAGTTATTGTGTTCCAAAGTCTCGACCAATCAAATTGCTTATCGCTCTGCTTACCCTCAGCAGAAAATGTTCATTATCGAATATAGTTATGGCATTGATGTAATAAAGCTATACACCAAGTGTCCTCACTCTCACTTAATTAGAACTCAGGGTTATCGTGTCCCAAAGCATCAACCAATCAAATTGCTTATCTCTGCTTACCCTAAGCAGAAAATGCTCATCTTCGAATTCCATCAAGATATTGACCCAATAAACACTTACACCAAGTTTGAACATTCTAGCTCAAATAGAAGAAGAGGTATTGTGTTCCAAAATCTTGGCCAATCAAATTGCTTATCACTCTGCTTACCCGTATTGATGTAAATAAACTATACACCAAGTTTCATCACTCTCACTTAATGAGAACTAAAGTTATCGTGTCCCAAAGCATCAACCAATCCAATTGCTTATTTCCGCTTTCCGGAAAATGCTCATCTTCGAAATCCATCAAGGTATTGACCTAGTAAACACCTACACCAAGTTTGAACATTCTAGCTCAATTAGAAAGAGAGTTATTGTGTGACGGACAGACAGACAGTCAAACAGACGGACGGACAGACGGACGAACCAATTTTAATAGTCCCCCGCTTTCTCCGAAAAGCAGGTGACAATTATTGAAAACAAGAGTAGCCCCCCCTTTTACTAAAAGCTTATTAACCAACGTTATTCCTCATGCCACAAAAATCTATCTCTTTTAGAAAGTCCAGTATTCTGCTACAGAGACCCGCTGGGTCAAATGTCCACAGGTTTGACGCCCACTCGACACAGACTAGGTCACTTTGGGACTAACACACCCACGAGGTTGGACATGGGGTTTAACGCCCACTCAACACAAACCATGTCATTTCGTGATTAACATTTGGTTCAATTTTATTTCAATAATTCGCTTGCGCGTAGAGGTCTTTAGCTGTGAGGGAAACCGGAGGACCCGGGGAAAACCCACGAATTTGAACAGTCGGCCCTATTCCTTGTCACGTACGACCGGGGAATCGAAACCACGCTAAATGACCCAATGATATACCTTATATATCTTTGAGATGCTTGCACTAAGTCACAATAAGCTTGTTACTGAAATTAGGAATAGGCAAGGTATTTATAAATATCATAATGATAACTGACATGACTTGAATTCTACATCTGTGTAACTATATATGATTTAAAACGATTATACGATAATAGCCTAATAATTATAATAAAGTTCAGCTGAAGAAATTAAAATATAAACACGAACGGAAATTCGCAAATAAAGTGAAATGTAATTGAGCATGGTTGATCGTTCAGTTTGTATTTGTAAGACACTGTAGACAGTAAGATAACGCAATCTTCTTCTACTAAACCTTTGCCATTGTTTGGTTCACCGTGGTTCCACCTGTTGATATCTGGAGTCGAACCATCGACCCACACCATCTTACCCTCTATATCTATATCATTCATCCCTATCCAGTAAATGCCACCTGAAAACAGGAGAGAAGACAATCAACACGAATTGGTCATTTTAGGACTAACCAGGCCCGTAACTAAGGGGGGGGGGGGGTCGAAGCCCCCCTGCGAACAAATTGTCGACTATAAAAACAATAGATATCCATTGTCCGTCAATTTTACAGCACCCCTGAGCATTGGCGTAGGAGCTCAAAGTAATTCAGGGGGGCATAAGAGAAAATTGCCCGAAATCAATACCGTTTTTTCGGGCATACATATCATAAGAGAGCTTCGGGTATATTTTCGGGCATGCAGTGGACAAGAAAAAGACGAGAAAATACTTTTCGGGCTGTGTGGATCTCATAGAAATAAGTTAGTTATATTTTTTCTCTAAACGTTAATAGAAAAAAAGGTCGTCGAATTTGTCATTGCCTATGCCCCTGAGAACACTTCCCACCCCCTTGTTGCGCTAAGCTAGTTACGGTCCTGGGACTAAAATGTACGCTTAGTTTATTTCATTAATCCGTATGGGCGTATCAGTCTTTAAAATAAAGATGTGACGTCACCCATTGATGTTGGCGTACTATTATTTCAAATAATGGTACGGGCCATGTGCCAAACGTACATTATTGATACTATTATGTATTTCATTAAATTGCACGTGCTGGATAGTGTCTGTATTTTAAGTTGTTTAATGGTCTCGTGCGTAATAAATAACGTGTCAGATACATTATGGAAGATTAGATAAAAATTCCCGAAGTTTACTCTGTGTTTCGACTAAAATCGTCGATTTAGGACTTAAAATGTCGGTCAACTAGCTTAGTGTCTGTTCTCAAGAGGAGCTAACTGTAGACAGACAGCCTAAGTTAAGTATGTACTAAAGTCTGTACGATTAAAAACATAGTCTCGATCATCCTTTTCATGATTAAATTATGAATGGAAGTCGAGCAGCAAATGAGGTCATAATCCAGTAAATAACACAGGCTAGCAATGCCATCGAGAGTAGATTATGGTCTGGATAAGTTAATTAATGTCTAATTAACAATTTAGATAACATTTAAGG